GTTGCTTTATGTTCCCCAGAAGAATGCAATCTTTTTATCTAATTTTAAGATCAGTGTGTTTTAAGTTACCCTGAGGGACTTTTATGTTGTTTCATTTTATGCCACTTCTAGCAGTGCTCAGTGCTTATTCTTCAGTTATCACTTCTTGTGGTCTTGGGAAACTCTTTGAGGTCCCAAGATTCAATCTGTGTAGGTCACATGCATGACAAGTATTATCAGTCCTTCCTACTGTTTTTAATTTTTTCCCAATAAATCACCAATATTTTACAGCAATAAAGCTTTTCATTTCTTCATGATCAATAATATTTTAAGACTTATTTTATGTTAAAGAATTGTCACTCATGAAGAACTTTGTAAACCACAGTGTTTATATAAAATATTAAAGGAAATTTGGAAAAACTAAAGAAATAAATTTAAACAAATGGATTCTTGAAAGAGATAAAAAAAATCTGAGTTGTCTCATACATGAGTAACGTTGTTGAATAATAAACAATGCAAACATTTTTATCTATTTCCTTGGTAATCTACAATTCTAATTAGCATTCACAAGAAAAATAAAAAAAATATCGCGTGCTAGTGTAGCCCAATGGCATCTGCTCACTCCAGGAACATGAAGAGCCTCAAACAGATCTGACCATCTCATACGTGGGCGGCCACTCCATCTTTTGAGGTCCCATGGAATTAATTTGGTAACAGCTCAGTCCAGCGGTCCCTAGCCTTTTGAGGATAATCTCTGGGCTCAGATATGAAGTTCAGCTTTTCAGATAATTATTTAGCTTTTTTTTTTCTTTTTTGGTCACAGCCGGTGATGCTCAGGGATTACTCCTGACTTTTAACTCAGGAATCACTCCTGGCGGTGTTCGGGGGACCATATGGGATGCTGGGAATCAAACCAAGGTCAGGCGCGTGCAAGGCAAATGCCCTACCCACTGCGCTATTGCTCAAACCCCTCAGAGAATTACTTAGATTGCAGCATTCTATGGGCTGCATGCACCAAAATGGTGATTATTTGGTTTCTCTTCAGCTGCTTCTGACATTTTGATATTTCTATTAAAAGGCAGTTTACATAGAAAATGTTCAGGAAACAAAACAAAGTTCTTTTGAAATTCCAATAAATAAATAAATAAATAAATAAACTACAAGTTACTTTTCAACATTGCATTTTCCAGGTTTCACAAATGTGCTCGTAGCGTCTACATTTTTCCTACTAGTTTCCTTTCTTAGAAATTCTTGAGTTTAGTATGTTACAAGTTCCATGCTTTTCTCACATTGAAAAGAAAGTGCTTATTTTTTTGTTTTTTCCCCCTTTTTGTTACAAAATGGGGCTGGAGCAATAGTATAGCTGGTAGGGTGTCTGCCTTGCATGCAGCCGACCGGCTGACCCGAGTTCGATTCCTCTGCCCCTCTTGGAGATCTTGGCAAGCTACAGAGAGTATCTTGCTCACATGGCAAAGCCTGTCAAGCTCCCCGTGATGTATTCGATATGCCAAAAACAGTAACAACAAATCTCACAATGGAGACGTTACTGGGCCCGCTGGAGCAAATCGATAAACAATGGGAGGACAGTGACAGTGACAGCGATAGAACAGCGGTAGGGCATTTGCCTTACAAGCGGCCAACATGGCCGACCCAAGTTCGATTCCTCCGCCCCTCTTGGAGAGCCCGGCAAGCTACCGAGAGTATCTCGCCCGCATGGAAGAGCCTGGCAAGCCACCCGTGATGTATTCGATATGCCAAACACAGTAACAACAAAATCTCCAATGGAGACGTTACTGGGCCCGCTCGAGCTCGAGCAACAATTTTAAGTGCACCATGCTTTTTGGGATAAAAACATTCCAAAAATAAAAGGTTTTAGAAAATACGTCAAGTAATTTTGTGAGCCCATAATCAAGAATAATCAACCTCTTACCAAAATGTGTTTTTTTTAAAGGAGTCAGAGAGAGAGTACAGTGGTTAGGGCATTTACCTGCATGAAGTTCACCAGCTTTGGTTCCTAGTACCAATTATTCCTATTCCACACATCCCTAGTCCCCATCAAACATGAACCTGAGCACAGTGCCAGAGTTAAGCCTGGAGCACTGCTAATTTGGAGTGAAAGCAATCAAACAAAAAAATATACTAAGAAGTGAAATTAAATTGATTACTTTTTATTTGTTTTCTTTTTGGTCCTTACCTGGTGATGCTTGAGTGGGCCCAGTAACATCTCCATTGTGAGACTTGTTGTTACTGTGTTGGGCATATAGAATATTGCAATGTGGCAATAGAAGCATGCTGAAAGTTGACTATAGACCGAACATGATTACCACCCAATGCCTCTTTTGCAAACCACAACACCCAAAAGGAGAGAGAGAACAAAAGGGAATGCCCTGCAACGGAAGCAGGATGGGATTGGAGGAATGGGGGGTGGGAGGGATACTGGGACCCGTGGTGGTGGAAAATGGGCACTGGAGGAGGGATGGGTACTTGATCATTGTATAACTGAAACCCAAGCACAAAAATTTGTACGTCTACAATTGTGCCTCATGGTGTTTCACTAATAAAAATAAGTCACAGTCACAATCACAGCCCTCCCGTTGTTCATCGATTTTGCTCGAGCGGGCCCAGTAGTGTCTCCATTGGAGACTTTGTTGTTACTGTGTTTGGCATATTGAATATATCACGGGTAGCTTGCCAGGCTCTGCTGTGTGGGCTAGATACTCTCAGTAGCTAGCCAGGCTCTCCGAGAGGGGCGGAGGAATTGAACTTGGGTCGGCCATGTTGGCTGAGTGCAAGGCAAACGCCCTACTGATGTGCTATAAAATAAAAAAAAAAAAAGAATATTGCCATGTGGGCAGATTTGGTATATTGAATATGTCACGGAAAGCTTGCAAGGCTTTGTTGTGTGGGCTAGATACTCTCGGTAGCTTGCCGGGATCTCCGAGAGGGATAGAGGAATCGAACACGGATCGCCTCAGTCAGCCATGTGCAAAGCAAACACCCTACCAGCTGGAGCAATAGCACAGCGGGTAAGGCATTTGCCTTGCACACAGCTGTCCTGGGTTTGATTCCTCCGCCCCTCTCGGAGAGCCCTGCAAGCTACCGAGAGTATCTCGCCCACACGGCGAAGCCTGGCAAGCTCCCCTTGACGTATTCAATATGCCAATAACAGTAACAACAAGTCTCACAATTTGCTGTGAGATGTTACTGGTCCCCACTCAAGCAAATCGATGAACAACAGGATGACAGTGCTACAGTGCTACGTGGCAATTCTCAATATTATTCCAGGCTTTGCATTTAGGAATCACTCATGACAGTGCTCAGGGACTATTTGAGATGTTAGGGATCAAACCTGGGTTGGCTGCATGCAATGTTAGAACCCTCACAGCTGTGGACATGGGCAGGGACATGGCCAAAGCAGGAGCAGTTTCATGCTACTGAGCGCAGGGTTTGCTCTTGGTGGACTGGGTGAAGTTTAGGAATGAGAAAATTCAAAGACAATATTAAGACTTTCACATAGGCAAAGAGGTAAATAAATGGTGGCACAATCACAGAGTGGTGAGGACTAATCAACGTCATTTTAAAAAACAGTTTACTTCATTTGTTGGGCTGGAGCCATGGAACACCAGTAGGGCATTTGCCTTGCATGCGGCCAACCCAGCCGACCCGGGTTCGATGTCTCTGCTCCTCTCAGAAAGCCTGGCAGCTACTGAGAGTATCTTGCCTGCAAGGCAAAGCCTGGCAAGCTACCCGGGACGTATCCGATATGCCAGACACAGTAAAAACAAGTCTCACAATGGACACGTTACTGGGCCTGCTCAAGCAAATCAATGAAAGGGAGGACGGTGACTGTGGCTTCCAATTATGGCACCACAATCTACCAAGGCGTTTGTAGTAGAAATTGTGGCTATGCCATTCTGACACCAGCCCCATCTCCAATTTTATTGGCTGCTCCCAGAGTTAATGTATGCATATTTGAGAAAAAATATTTTCGAAACCTCATTGCAGCACTGCGGACTCTGAAAAGGGGAAATTGTGGGCCTAGTGACCCTTCCCCAGGAAGAGAATCAACCCACGGAATAGTTTGATACTTTGGTATTTTCTTTGTTTTGTCACATGACAACACTACATTGCTGAGGCCATTTTCCTGGCTCTGGTTGAGGGATCACAGCTGGCTGTCACCTTACAGGCTCCACTGTCTCTCTGACTCCAACACTGTTTTGGTTATAGTTTATGGTACATTTCTACTTTTCCTCAAAAAAAAGATGGATTCGGTGTATGAAGTCAAAGAGGAAGGGCTTGATTCACAGTTAAAACTAGATTCCTGAAAGAAAGACAGGTTCCCTCCACACATAATTCTGTGGAGTCAGAATAGAGCTATGGAGAAACCATCATCAACCAATTACTGAACCAACCAATCAAATTGATAAAATCCCTTCAACAGTTCAACCCCTCCCTACACTCCATTAGTCATTCTTGGATGAGTCTCTCCAGCTCCACCACTGATGTATATAAACGCACTGCTGGGTGAAGAGCAAACAGTGCCCAATGCAAGGCTGAAGTCTGCATCCTGTGAGGAGAGTAGCTCTCCAGTAGCCTCAGGCACTGTGCTAGGCCAGTCAGGACCAAGGTGAGTAGGGATCAATTAGGTGTTATGGCAGACCTGAAGGGGTATTGAGATTAACCAGATAATATTTTATAATGAAACCCAGAGTTGAGTGACCACTCCTCTGATGTGAATGAGGTCATTTGCTCATCACAGAGAGTTGTACTGTGAAACAGTATCAGATGAAACAGGGGACCCAAATGTATGAAGGCCCAGAAGTTGATTTGCTTATTGGTAAATACTGTTTGGAGGTCATTGAGTATGGACGTACACTAGATTCTCAGAGACCATCCCTGAGTACACCAAATTGAATTCAGAACAGAGGTCTGAATAGGTGATTTTTTTCTGGCTGGAGGAAATGTGGAGCTCTGCCTTGTGAGGAAAAAACACCCTAGTCCTGCCCATCCCACACCTGAAGATGGAGGAGGTGTCGGCAGCCCTGGCCAAAATGCAGCCAGAGCTCATCTGTCACATCTGCCTGGACTACCTCAATGACCCCGGCACCATCGACTGCAGCCACAACTTCTGTGACTCCTGCATCTGCATGTCATGGAAGGACTTGCAGAATACATTCCCTTGTCCCATGTCCCGGCAATCCTGCCAGGAGATGCGCGTCACTGCCAACGCCCAGCTGGGCAGGCTGGTGGACCTGGCCAAGCTCCCACACAGCTCTGGGAGCAGAAAGATGGCGCGGGCAGAGGAAGGCAGGTGTGAGGAGCACAGGCAGGGGATGAGCCTCTTCTGTGAGGAGGATCAGGAGCTGGTGTGTCCCTTGTGCGCCCAGGGCCCTGCCCACCAGGGCCACCACGTCAGGTCAGTGGCTGAGGCAGTGGCTCACAGACAGAGGGTCGGCGAGTGCATCGGATCCCTGACGAAACAGCTGGCTGAGGTGCAGAAGTGAGAAGTCACCCATAACCGAAACCTCCTGCAGCTGAGAGCAGATGTGGGAAAGCACAGGACTCTGCTGGCCTTGAAACTTGCGCAGCTCACCCAGTTTGTGGATGTGAGCAAGATGCTGCTCTCTGCAGGCTGGCAGAAGGAGACAAGTGCCTGCACACGAGAGAATGCCACACACAGCACCAGGAAAGCGGCATGCTCAGAAAAGCTTGGCAGGTTCCAGAATGGAAGTTTTCACTTAAAGCAGCATTCGAGACTGAAAGAATTTCTACTTCTTCAGTGAAGTCCATTGGCAGAGAGCCAGTGTGATAATGGAGACAGGGCAATTTTTCCAAATGCTTGTTGCATCCAACAGTGACAACAATAAAGCCAGAATACATATTACAAAATGAGGAATGTGGTCTGAAATGAGGAAACAACTTAGTGTCTAGAGAAATTGCCTGAAATGCTGGAGTGCCTGCCTAGCAGGGAAACATAGGGGTTAATTACTCAGGAACACTTAAATATTTGAGCACCCTTAGCACAAATCCTGAGCAACACACCAGGAGCCAGGAACAAGCACTGAGCACTGGCTCTGGGTCTGGTGTGGTCCCAAAATTACCACAAAATAAAAGAAGAAAATTATATAGTAATATTATCCCTAGTAACACAGGTATAGGAATTACCAACAAGTTTAGAAAAAAGCAATCTAGAACTAGACAACTGGGATGGAAAATTAATTTTGGAGTACTGCTGTCTTGCAAGTTTTTATCCTGTGAACTAAGAATTCCAAGATTGGCTCTGGTCACCCCAGTGTTTTTGCAGTAATGGCAGTTATAGGAAATGCACTTCCTGAGCACATGGTTTTCTCAGGCAGTTCCTTGTGGCCCAGATCTCTCCCTGGACCCCTAACAACCTAGGACCCCTATTACTACTGCCAGTCTGCAGAGGACTTACCCCCAAACCCCTAGGGCCACTCATTTCCACTCCCACTGCAGTTCTGCTTCCAATATGACTGGCATTTGGGAAAAACATTTTTCCAAAAACTTCCTTCAGGTGGTTAAATAATATTTATTATTATTTTTATCATCATCATCATTAGCATCATATTTGTATTATTTTGAAATGAGGATTGCAGGTGAGAGAGTAGAATAGAGAAGCCCACCTCTCCTTCACTGTACAAGTAGGATCCAGCTCTATGTGCTGTCAAATGTCCCCAACAGTCACTTTTCCTGGAGCTGTTTCCATGCCCTAGAGGGTAGCCGTGGGGTTTTTAAGATGCTTTTGCTTTAATTGTATTAGAGTTCGAAATCCCAAGCCTGGTTAACCTTAAGCAGTATGTATTCTGGCAGGTTTTTAAAAAGAGCAGTTATGTCGGAGCTCAAAGGGGAAACTGAGGCAAGGGAAATAGCAAAGGGTGCTCTAAGCTACTGGTGTGAAATGTTTCACTGTGATGTAGCTTCACATTGAGTCATCAATTGTTATTAACCTGTAGTTAAGGAGTAAGCAGATTCATAAACTTTTAAACCCTGTCACTCAGTGCGTGTGTCTGTATATACATATATATGTATATATGTATGTATATATATGTATATATATATGTATATATATATGTATATATATGGTCACGGTCACAGTCACGGTCCTCGCATTGTTCATCGATTTGCTCGAGCGGGCCCAGTAACGGCTCCATTGTGACACTTGTTACTGTGTTTGGCATATCGAATATGTCACGGGGAGCTTGCCAGGCTTTGCTGTGCAGGCAAGATACTCTTGTTAGCTTGCCGCACTCTCCGAGAGGGGCAGAGGAATCGAACTCGGGTTGGCCATGTTCGCTGCTTGCAAGGCAAGTGCCTACCCGCTCTGCTATAGCTCCAGCTTTATATAATAGAGTATAATATTATATAACATAATAATAGTTATTATATATAGAGAGAGAGTTTGGAGATGAAAATCTCTCTATATATAGATAAATACATATCTATCTATGTATACGCACACTCAACAATACACACACATTTGTAACGGTGTATGTATATGTGTGTGTGTGTCAGATGAAGACGTTTTCTAGTGAAGAGTTATTTATTACTTATTAGATGAACCCTCATTTCAAATGCGTCTAGGCAGCAGGAAACTGACCAAAAGTGGACTTGGGTGGAAGTTAGGCATCGAATCAACGCTTAAGTGGTGAAAGAAAGAACATGTCTTACCAATTTCTTTGTAAACTAAGAGAACTTGGTGGCACTGAAAGGAGTAAGTGAGAATTGAAGGTGCAAGGGTTTCTCTAAATCTCCCTTTAGCTCTAGGCCAGTCCACCGGCTGTTTCTTGGAGGTGGGATCATCGCTCTTTCCTGAGATTGGTCGCCATAGTTAGAAGACCCACCCAGTGGAGACCCACCTAGTGGAGACCCACCCAGTGGCCTTTAAATTAGCTGGCCAGCTCAGAGACCGTGCACTGCTGCCAGGCTGCCCTCACACAGCATCCAGGAAATCTTCTGCAGACTGACCCCAGAGGAACTCAAGACCTTTACAACTGGCCAACCAGGTAAGCATGGGATTGAGATGATGTGGGGATGCAGAACTTTGAAGGGACACATACTCTGGCCCTGCAGAGACAGACATCTGTACCTGTAAAGGAAACACACCCTCTGTTAGTTTCCTGGAAAAGATTTTCCATTCATTAAAAATTCCAGTTCCTCAACCTTTCTTTTCTTCATCACATATATTCTTGCTAAATTCAGATAGCAATTTGCACCTGCACCGTGACATAGATCAGAATCAGTAGGGGTATGTGATGGACGGGCTCACTCTGGGACTTTGGGTGCAGAGGGGACGTAGTGACTGACACCTGATGTGTGATGAACCATCTGAGGAAGCTGGTGTTAGTCCCTGGTCGAATCCCCTAGAAACTCTGAGTAAAGGATATCAGACTGGAGGTGACTTTAGGATAGAACTGGACAGTTGTGGGTACTTTGTCAGGGAGAATATTGACTTTGTATACCAATTCCCTAGCTTTCCACAGCTGTAATATTACATTAACCTTATTATCTAGAGCATAACATTTTTGTCTTTAAAGAGAGGGCCATAGAGGTATCACAGTTGCCTCGTATGCATCTAACCATGGTTTGACCTGAGGCTCCACATAAAGTCTTCGTGGCACACACACAAAGAAAGAGACAGACAGAGAGAGAGAGAGAGAGAGAGAGAGAGAGAGAGAGAGAGAGAAGATTGGAGTACAGTTTTGAATTAAAGTAAAAAAGAAAAGCACTGACATGGAAATTGGCTTGTCAAGAGTGTGGTTAGAAAAACAGTAGTAGTTTTGTTTTGGTTGGACATACTTATTTTTTATATCAAGTTTTATCCTGATGTACGATCACCCACATTGCATCCTCAGTTAAGTTATGTGGACAATATTGCAGGGTTTGTTTAACTGGGGGTTGTCTATTTCCTTGGTTTGTTTCTATATACGCCACATATGAATGAAATAATGTTCATTTTTTCTTTTTTTTTTAAATTGTTCTCTGGCATCGATCTATGCTAAGGTTTTAAACTGAATCCTTTGAAAGGATTTTTAAAGGAGTGATTGATTTCCCCACACTAGTCGGAATATCTGGAACTACACATGCAGGGAACCTGGATTCATTTTACAATCTACTTATTGTATGAAGCAAGTCCTTCCTTTATGTCATCCTCAGCCCCAATTTCATTCTTTCAGAGAAAAATAGAAATGCTCTATGAAGTAGAAATAAAGCGCTGGTGGATCAGAGACTTGGTAGTGCCGTACGGTGTTTGCCATGTGATCCCTGCCTTAGTTCCAGAGTCAGGAGTAGACCCCTGAGCACTGCAGGGTATGTCTGCAGAACAAAACAAACAGAATACACAAAGAACCAGACTGTGCTGCTCTCTCTCCCCAGGCAGTATAGCTGCTCCCACTATTTGTTCTTTTCAAACTTGCTGTGCTGCAAATGAGGTCATTGAGAACATTTTCCCTCTAACATGTATGAATTATCTCCTAACTAAATCGAAAATTTCTGGTGGTCGGATCGCTGCTAGAACAGCATATGCTGGAAACTTGACTATAAATAATTTGTAAATCATGGTCTCCTAATAAAGAGCTTAAACAATCAATCAAATAAAGAAATTTTAAAATTACATTCATTACTCTCCCCAGCTCACTGATTGCTACATCGTTCATTTACCTAATTGCCCATCTGCACACGTGAAAATCTTCGGAACTGTCTTTGAATATTCTCATTCCAGAACTTTACCCAGTCAACCAAGAGCAAACCCTGTGCTCAGTACCGTGAAACTTTTCCTGCTGTGACCATGCCCTGGCCTGTGCCCTCTGCCTGCTCCTTATCCTCAGATCTCCTTTGGGGGGTGGATCAGTCTGAGTGGAAAAGCTTTGTTCTGATGAACACTGGAAAGCTGTTGAAAGATAGAAAGGCTGAGGCAGGGCCATGAAGAACTGGCTCAGTGAAGAACTTGGCCCGGCATAGCCTAAGTTTTAGTTCCCTAAACTTGCGTTGCACTTTCCCTGAAATACAGTAGTGGGGTCACCAGAAGAACTAATTAAACATGATGACAGCCAGAACATCTAATCTAATCAGACCCACCATGTCATCACGTAACCTTGCCTCCACTGAAGTAACCTCAGCCTTCACCCAATCAGAAGTTACCAAGTAATAGAAAGTCCCCTAGATCACTGGCAACGGAATGCCCCCACTATACCACTGTAATGTATAGAAACCTTTGTTGCTTGGGGCCGCTCGTTCAGAGTAAGCTGCTGTGTCAGTGAGCCGGATGGAGGCCGTAGCCCAGGCTAGGCCTAGCTCGAGCTAATCAATAAAGATACTCTTATAGTTGCATCAGAGTCAACTCCTTGGTGGTCTTTTGAGAAACTGAGTCACTGGTTAACACTGTTATCTGGGTGGTAACACTTAAAGGATACTTTTAATCCTATTGCCAAACTTAAGGCCGAATGCCAAGATAATTCTGAATTGCTATCTTCTGGACTTCTA